TGAATTGCTACAGCTGGGGCGACTTTCTTATGCTCGCCGTATTTCATGTAAAATTTTTTGGAATGATTAGAATCTATGTACATTAAATATCACTATGTTGTGCTCTCTTTCTTAAGAGAACAAATATCTATGTCGTATATATTCGGTATTTTTTTAAAAAAAAAATATTTTTTATTTTTGGTGTAATTAATTTGGATTTTTCTTTAATCCCATATGAAGCCACTAAATTGTTTAACCTCGTCCAATTGGAAATAAAAATATTTAGCTTTGTCTTGTAGGATAATATTTTTTTGGATGGAACTATAATTTTAAACAAATTTTTAACACAATCTTCACTCTTAATCTAATATATGAATTCTCAATATTATCAATATAAATAATTTCTCTTACTTGTATTTGAGTAGTTCACTTCATAATATTCGAACATAAATATCTGCTTTGCAACTTTGAGTTTGTTTTGCAGACTAACTTCAAGAAACATGATTTTTGGAAATTGAATGTCAAAAGGGGAGATTATTAAAATATTGGTTTGTTGGTTGGACATTGTCCGACAAACCTAAGTATTTTTTAGAACACTTTCTTGTTAGACAAGCAAAATAAATCAAAGCGAAATTTTTAAAACACTTTCTTGTTAGACAAGCAAAATAAATCAAAGCGAAATTTTCTATTTATTTACTTGTGAATTAATTAAGTTGTTAGTATTTGTTATTAACTAGTATTTTTCCTTATACTGTGGGTACCATGAAATATATAATATATATTTCAAAAATTGATTGTTCAATTTTGTAACACGGTCATCTAATATACAATTTAACAATTATGATATATTTAAATTGAGCAATAAATATTTAAATTGAGAATACCATTAATTTTACTTATATATACTTTTTTTAAATTTATTATAATTTATGATCTTTTTATGTGGCTAAATTAATAAGCAAATCTAAAATTCAACCTCATGATCTGTGGTTAGAATGGCGCCGCCGTTGGATTATTTTGTCGGCCAAACGATCACAAATCACAGCTGTCACCACACGTGTCATCAGATTCTTTTCTCCCACGCCCACTTTTCTGGATACATTTGGTTGTTTCAAATATTTTATTATTTCAATTTAATAATTTTACAGCCACCAAATCAAAAGAATATTATTATTATTACAGCTATTTATAAATAGGTGTAAACAAGCCGAGCTCGTTAAATAATAAACGAGCCTGGAATCGAGCTCGAGCTTGACTTGTTAAGGCCTTGAGCTCGAGCTTTATTACAAATTGATCCTGAATTTTAACGAGGCGAACTATAAAAGTTATGTAAAAATTTTTTTTTCGAGCCTTAATGACCCGAGCCCGAACTCGACTCGTTAGCTAAATGAACTGTAAATGAGCTCGAGTTCGGCTCGTTAAGATTCGAGTTCGACTCGTTTAATTTACAAATTTGTACATCATTAAATATTTAAATCTATAGCTTTACCAGTTGAATAAGAGATTTTATATGTACATCACTGATCCCGTATCTTTAGTCAGAAACACAATTATGATAGCATTATAAGGATAATGTGTTAACTAATTTCTATGTAATTATATTATTAAAATATATTTGCAATAAAACCTTAAAAGGTAAACTCATAATTAAACACGCTATTTTTTCAGGGTACAGTACTCTCTTTAAAATGTTAAAAAAAAAAAAAAAAAAAAAAAAA